GGCCGTCAAGACGTTTTCGATAGACAAGAATTGCTCGGTGAATATTTCGCTCCTCCATGCGTTCTGTCAGCCTAAACCACAAACCCTAAACCCTAAACCCTAAACCCTAAACCCTAAACCCTAAACCCTGAAGCATAAACCCTGCGGCGAGCACCAGCTGCTTGGCCAGCCTCCATGCCTAGGCCCCACGACCCCACCCGCAAACCCCAAACCCTAAACCCCAAACCCTAAACCCTAAACCCTAAACCCTAAACCCTAAACCCTAAACCCTCACTCTCGAATGGGCTTGACTCCTGTCTTCTTGGTTTCATCTGCAAAGTAGACAATTAGCTTCGCCTCAGGGTCTGCTTTGTGGGAAGCAATCAGCAGCATGCGCGAACGCCTGCAGCAGCAGCAGCAGCAGCAACAGCAAGGGCAGCAGCAGCAGCAGCAAGAGCAGCAGCAGCAGCAGCAAGAGCAGCAGCACAGCAGGAGAGAAGTGCAGGGATAAGCAGTGAGGCCTTTAAATGGTCTCTGTGAGCAGCTAGGGTTTGGGGAGAGACAAGGCCTGGAAGGAGGGAGAGGCTGCAGCAGCAGGGTTTAGGGTTTAGGGTTTAGGGTTTGGAGCTGTTGGCTGGTTAGCACTGTGCGTCGAGGGTTTCGGCAGTTGGCTGGTGCTGCTCCTGCTGCACCCGAGCAGCAGCAGCGCGCCTGCAGCCTCAAACCCGCATTCAGGGTTTAGGGTTTAGGGTTTAGGGTTTAGGGTTTAGGGTTTACGACTGTTCGTTTTCGTTGAAGCGCTGCGCAAACTCTGCAAACCCTTCCGCCATTTCTTGGGCTGGCAGCAAATAGCCGCGGTCAGTTAAGATCTCGCAGCAGGTGCGGCGGGCCCTGAAGAGGCGCCGGATGCTAGACTCCATTTTAGGGTTTAGGGTTTAGGGTTTAGGGTTTGGGGTCTGGGGTTTAGGGTTTGGGGTCTGGGGTTTGGGGTTTGGGGGGTGGGCGGGGTGGGCTTTTGCGGGTTGGTTTGGCGCTTGTGCTTGCTTGCCGCTTGCTTCCTCAGCGTCTAGGGTTTAGGGTTTAGGGTTTAGGGTTTAGGGTTTAGGGCTTAGGGTTTAGGGTTTTTCGCAGTTTTGGGGGGGAGGCGAAGATGAGGGGTTTTGCTGCTGGCGGAGACACCCCAGCCCCCGGTACATACACCCTAGCGTCTACTGTGGGGCAAGGAATTAAGTGAGTTTTATTTTATTTTATTTTTATTTATTTTTATTTTAATTTATTTTAATTTTCTTTCCTTCATTTGTTTATTTATTTATTGTTTATTTGTTTCCTATTTGTTTGCTTTTATTTGGTTCTTTTATTTCGATTCTTTTGACTATTTATTTATCTAATTCTTTTTTCTAATTTTTGACTATTCATTTATTAATTACTTTAATTTTTATTTTTTATTTATTTACATTTTAAATCCTTTCTATTTTTATTGATTTATTTTTATTTAATTCATTTTATGTCTTTGCTTTTATTTATTTATTTTCATTTACTTGTTTTTATTCAATTACCGTTACTTCATTCTTTTTATTCAATTCTCTTTATTTAGTCCTTTTAATTTTAATTCTATTTATTTATTTCTTTCTTATTTACATCTTTCCTTATTTCCTTTTAACTTTTTCTTTTTTATTTATTTCTTTTTATTTGTTTTTCTTAAATTTAATTTTTCTTTATTTAGCTTTTTGTTCAATTCCTTTCAATTTTATTTGTCCCTTTTAATTGTCTCTTTTTAATTTTAATTGTTTATTTTTCCTTCTAATTTTACTTATCCCTTTTTAATTATAATTTTCTCCTTTTTATTTTAATTATTTCTTTTTACTCTTAATTGTTCATTTGAATTGTTTTTTTTATTCAATTGACTCTTTTTATTTTCAATTATCTCTTTTTAATTTAATTGTCTTTTTTTAATTTTAGTCGTTTTCTTCTGTTTGTAAGCTGTCTCCTTCCAATTGTCTCTTTTTGTTTTTTTATTTTTTTTCTTTTTCAATTTTTAATTGTCTCTTTTTTCTTTTTAAGATCTTTTAATTATTTCTCTTGACTTTTAAAATCTCCTCTTTTCACTTTTTAATTATCTCATTTTACTTACCTTTTCTGTTTTTAATCAAGTGCTGTCTTCAAAATTCAGGGTTTAGGCTTTAGGGTTTAGGTTTTAGGGTTTAGGGTTTAGGGTTTAGGGTTTGAGGTGTACGTACACCTCAGGTACTCCATTGGGGGCGGCGGGGCCCGAGGGGGCCTCGCGAGGCCCTCAGACACTCCAGGTAAAAAAGAGAAAATAAAAGTTTTTATTTATTTTAAATGCCATTTTTTAAATTAATAGTGCCATTTGAGCCAGTGCGTCAAGCGGTGGAATTGCTCTGCTGCTGCTGCTGCTGCTGCTGCTGCAGCGCTGCTGCTGCTACTACTGCTGCTAGTACTACTATTGCTGCTGCTGCTGCTGCTGCTGCCGCTACCACACTGCCACTGCTGTTGCTGCCACTGCTGCCACTACACTACTACTGCTGCTACGGCTGCTACTGCTACTGCTGCTGCTGCTGCTGCTGCTGCTGCTGCTGCTGCTGCTGCTGCAGGCCCGTGCACTTACGCGCCAGTGCTGAGCAGCGGGGCCCCCAAATGGACTTTTGGGTCTTCGGCTCGAGGAGGTGTGGGGCCCCACAGCTTCACACCGGGGCCCGGTGCGTCTGCGCAAAACGCATGCAAAACGCATGCAAAGCGCATGCAAAACGCATGCAAAACGCATGCAAAACGCATGCAGGGCTGTTTTGGATTCTTTTGGGGTTTCTTGTTGCTTTTAAATGCAATTTTTAAAAAGGGAAATAATGAAAGTCCAAATGCAAAAGAAATTTAATTAATTAATTAATTAATGTACTTATATATTTATAGATATAGGTATATTTATTATTTATTTATTTATTTATTTATTTATTTATTTATTTATTTATTTGTTTATTAATTTGTTTATTTAGGAACTTATAACCCCAACGCCATCAGAGAAACCCACGGATGGACAATGGCTGGCAGACACGGCGCGGCTTCAGGGTAACAAACCCTAAACCCTAAACCCTAAACCCTAAACCCTAAACCCTAGGCCCTAAACCTTAAACCCTAGATCCTGAACCCTGAATCCCAAACTCGAACCCTAGACTTAGAAGGGTAAACGCCTAACCGTGAATTCTAAACTTAAAACCCTAAACCCCAAACCCTAAACCCTAGGTCTACAACTCTCAACCTTGAACCCCAAACCCTAAACCCTAAACCCTAAACAGTGAAGCGTGTCCCTTGAGCCTAATTCTTTGAGGTCTAAATGGACATCTCCAAAAGGAAGATTCTTTGCTCTATCTCGCCGAATGGCTAAGGGTTTAGAGCTCCGCAATTAGGGTTTAGGGTTTAGGGTTTAGGGTTTAGGGTTTGGGGGTTTTGTTGTTTCAGGGGTAATAAACTCATGGCCGAAAACGACAAGATTGGAACGACTTATTCTACCTTTGGGTTTTGAGGTAAAGAGAAAAAAGAATTAAAAATAAAATAAAATAAAATGAAATAAAATAAAATAGATTAAATCAAATTAAATTGAATTAAATTAAATTAAATTGAATTAAATTAAATTAAATTGAATTAAATTTGAGGGAGAGAGCTGTCTGTACACCCCAGCTGCTGCAGTTTAGTCTCCAAATGCAATTTCACTAAAAGACCCTAAACCCTAAACCCTAAACCCTAAACCCTAAACCCTAGTTCCTAGTGCCTCGTTTGCTCGCGGTCCCAGCAGCTAAGAGCTCCCATTCTCAGCAGCAGCAGCAGCAGCAGCAACAGTAGCAGCGGCAGCAGCAGAAGCAGAAGCAACAGCAGAAGCAGCAGCAGCAGAAACAGCAGCAGCAGAGGCAGCAGCAGCAGCAGCAGCACAAGCAGCAGCAGCAGCGGCGGGCTTAAGAAACAGTGACTGGCGGGTATAGAGAGCCAGGCGCAGATACGAGAGGCTTAGGGTTTAGGGTTTAGGGTTTAGGGTTTAGGGTTATTGTGCTGCAGGTTGCAGCTGGAGTCAAGGAGACAAAAAGACAAAAGCGAAGAGACAAAAGGAGACAAAAAAAAGAAAAAAAATAAAAATAAAAACAAAAAGAGACAAATATAAAAAACAAAAAAAGACAAATATAAAAAACAAAAAGAGACAAATGAAAAAATTGAAAGAAATAAAATAAAATAAAAAGAGACAAAAGGAGAAAAATTGAAGTAATAAAAAAAGAGACAGAGAGAGAAACAATTAGACAAAAGGAGATTCGAGGCAAACATCAAAAAAAAACAGCAGCAGCAGCAGCAGCAGCTGCTGCTGCTGCTGCTGCTGCTGCTGCAGTTGAATCTGGAAGAGACAGCAGAAAAAGCATCACGAAATGAGTTAAAGCGTAACCTCCAAACAGGACCCGGTCTAGCAGCAGCAGCAGCAGCTGCTGCTGCTGCTGATGCTGCTGCTGCAGTTGCGAGAGAGAAGCAGCAGCAGCACTAAAGTGTCTCCTCTAGAAAGCTCTGTCCCCTTTTTGTCTCCTTTCTAGCTGCCAGCTTTAAACTGATTTGTGTCTTTTTGTTTTGAACAAAATTATTTCCAATTAAAATTATTTGAATCTAAATTTCTGTCTCCTGCTGCTGCTGCTGCTGCTGCTGCGGTGTACGTACACCTCAGCTGTATGTACACCTGTCTCCTCCACCCCACAAAAGGAAAAATTAAAAATGCACATTTCGCAGTTTGTCTTTGCTGCAAGAACAGCAGTGAGCCCAAAGGCATTTCGTGCTGCTGCTGCTGCTGCTGCTGCTG